CATTGTATCAGAGAATGTGGCAAGTACTTTCCAACTTTATTTGTTTTTGGAACAGTTTCAAATTTTAAGACAGAAAGGATTAGTGTATACAAGTAATCTTAATTCAGATTTGATGAGATAATCAAATTTTAATCCCCCCCATACAGAGGGAAGCAACTGGTATGTTCAGAAGAATTTGTGCATCAAAATGATTTTTAATTTACTTGTCATTTTGCAATTGTTCAAAGTTAAAAATAATAAGTGAAAACAAAAACTAAACTTTCTTGAATGCTTATATTACCAATCAGGCACTTTACATTCAGTACCTGATTTAAATCTCACAGTCCTATGAGTTTATGTACTATTATTGTTCTCATTTGACAGATAATAAAGAAGGCCCAAATGTTACATAATCTTAACTTGCTTATATCACATAAAGTGAAGTCTGGGCTGGTTTTAACTTTCTATAAAACCTGCATATTCTAAATAAATCTGATATACTACTAATGGGGTTGTAGGACATAGAAATATCTGCAGTATTTGTGACATAACCCACCACCTTGAAAAAGAATGTCAGCTAATGTTTTCCAAAAGGCCTACGAAAACACACACACACACACTCTCACACACACATATTCATATTCATTCTCTCTCTCTCTCTCTCTCTAAATCAGTTTCAATGGAATTTGGCCTGCCCAGAGATTTGAAGTAGACTTCTGTTTGGGAAAAGACCTCTCATACATCTTTTAAAAAAATATAAGTTCACTGTTTAGATACACCTTAAGTTCCATCCTCAATCATAAGCTTCTTGGGGCTAATGAAATCTTCATTTTCCCAACTTCCACAAAGTTTCTGAGAACATCAAGTCTTGTCAAAAGGCATTATGCTGCAGGATAAATAAAATCTACCATTAAAAAATATAATTTAAGGTGAAGCTTTCTATTTTATAAATCTGTATATTAAAGAAGGAAATTAATAATTTTCCCTGCTTCTGAAATTTCAAGGGTAATTTTGATTGCTGTTTTGTGTTTTGCAGTGCTAAGAACCCAGGATGTCATATATGTTAGTTAGGCATTCCACCACTTAGTAATATTCCTGTTCCCTTATTTGCTATTTTTTACTGGAGCTCCTAAAGAACACCCAAGAAGGTCCCTTTCTATAAATTTTCTGAAGAACGACCTATCTGGGGAACAATCCGTCTATAAAAAAGTTTTGACAGTTTGTTTACAGTTCTAAAACCAAGAAGGTTAAACAACTTGCCCAGTGTTCCAGAGCTTGTTCATGGTAAAATCCAAGAGTAAACCTAGGTCTGACTACTGGAATGCTTTAGTTCCAACTACAGAATGACAAGATGACTCTTAACCTGGAGTGCTCTACCAGAGAGCTACAGTCCTTTTTATTATTATTATGATTTATTTTGCAATAGGCTAAATTGACAAGGATAGCCTTGAACTTGCCATCCTATCCTCCTGCCTCAGCCTTCCAAATAGCTGGTATTACAGATGTGCATCTGGCATGCTAAAACTAAAACCATTCTCATTTCAATATTCCTTTTAGGTAATAAATTTTCTTTAATCAAAACAAAATTTCTGAAATCAAAGATAACTTGTATTTGAGTAAGAATGCAACGCTTCTAAATGTTCAGGTAAAGAGTCCATGACTAAGACAATATGCATCACAGATCACTGAAATAATCAAATGATTCATATCTAAAGCTACATGTTATAATGACTTCCTTGAGCTACATGAATCAGAAAGGCTACTACCATACCATTGACCTGACCTCTAGAGAATTGGCATCTTCACGTTAGACATTGTTTTATTCTTCTACACGAACTTAAAGCATCTCAACCATGTAGATGACTCAAATATGTCAAAACTCAATCCACTGGTAAAGCAAATCAACAACAAGCAGGTCCAACAACCTCATAATCATCACCAGTATATTTTGTGACTCGTTATTGAATAGTGAATTAATTTTTTTCACTAAGCATCAGTATCCTCAGAGTCATTTCCATAATATCAGGCATGGAGCAAATAGTTAAGATTCTAACATTATACATTTTGGTACAATTTATTCTTATGCTAATTTCCTTTCCAAGTGGCATTTCCCTCAGGATCTAAAGGGGTCTGAAGGATATAGTTCCCTATTTGCCAGGATACTTAAAGAGAGACCTTTTCAAATTCATTAAAAGAATTCTGTTCATATATTTATGAACAGGATCAGTACTCTATCTTCCTTTCAAACATAATTTAGACTGAAATGTGGAGTAAGCCCTAACGGGTATGGGATTTCTTCTTGGGTTGATGAAAACGTTTTGTAATTGGTGATGATCAATACACAACTGTGTAAATACAATAAAAACCACTGAAATTTTCACTCCGAAATGGTGAATTTTACGGTATGAGAAATAAATCTCAATAATTCTGTTATTTTTTAAAAAACAGCATTCAGAAAACAATAGTTTGCATAACCAGTGAGCTACTGCCTAAGGATTTTTTATCAGTAACACTTACTGAAATCTAACATAACTAGTAAATCAATGAAAGTATGGTGTCTCAAGATTTCCAGCCCATACTTCAAAAATAAAATTATCATTTTCTTATTTCTTCATTTCCACTTTACATCAAATAAGTTCATCTTGAATACATTAACATCCAAAACAAATGCTGAAACATATTAAGCAGAGGTGGAAATGCACTATAACTTGAATAAACTGATATTATTTTGAGTTTCAGGTCATATGCTTTACCAATAATATAAGTTAAAACTTAATTTCTAATAAGTATTTCTGAAATGTTATTAGAATAAAGCAATAAGTGTTTCTAAAATATTAGAAATTAAATGCTTCTAATAAAACATAAAATTCTTCTATTCTAATTTTCTAGTTAAAAATCACCCAAAAAACTTTCCAGTAATATTATTTCCAATAATATTCGCAAAGGGATTAACGCAATCATTTAGATTCCTAAGCCAATACCTCTATGTGTACGTTGAGTATCATTTATCTATAAATGCTTGGGACCAGAAGTGCTTCAGATTTGGGTGGGTATTTGGGATTTTCCGATTAGGACACTCAACTGTATGTATATACATCCCAACGTACCTTACTTTATTAATCATATTAATAATATTCAGTTGGGTGAACACACCTGTAATCCCAGGTACTCAGAAAGCTGAGAAAGGAATCACAAGTTCAAGGCCAGGTTTGGGATCTTAGCAAGACCCTGTCTCAAAACAAAATGAAAAATAAAAAAGACCAGGGAAATAGCTCAGTGACAGAGTACCTCTGGGTTCAATCCCCAATACTACAAAACAAACTATTTAGGCAAGATTTTATTTTAGGATAGCGAACAGCCTTGAAGGGATAGGAAAAAATAAAAGACACTGAAGTGATTCAAACCTCTATTGTCCTAAGAGATAATGTATGGTATTAACTGATTATTTAGCCATCAGTTGACAGTTTGTATGAAACTTCCACAACTTTTTAAAGGCTTGATTTTAAATATTATCAATTATAAAGAGCTTTTCACAAACATCCAACTCTCTTTGAGCACTTTTATATCCCTGGCTAGGTGGTGGAGAAAGAGACATAAGACAAACCTGCCCTCAAGGAAGACCCACTTTGATTGCTCGCTTTTGTCTGGCACTCACTAAAAATAAACATATTCACTTATAGTACCCAATTAACTAGGTTTAACGTTAGTCACAATAGGGAATGTGAGGCAACCATTATAAATGTCTGGAAAACAATAAAATTAAAAAATAAAAGCTGTTGTACGTTTTGGCCAAACATAACTATGCTTACAAACATAAAATTACACTTTAAATTCCACATACACTGCTAAAAATAAATAAAAACAGTAAAATGACCCAAAGTATAACCGTCCCTTCCTTAACATACATCCCTTATAAAACTGTCTCATTTAAAGGTGTATATCTATTATATTTCATTCAAAGTATTCTCTTCTATTCGAGGATATTTCCCTTTACCTTCGGACCGCTCCATCTGGATACCGTACTGAACAGTTGCTGAATGAATGAATGAAATAAACAGATGTTCTAATTGTCACGGAGATATTTGCTGGATACTTATCTCAAAACACAAAGGGCTGACAGACTAAAATTCTACTGGTAAGATCACTGAATTTCAGTGGTAAAAATAGTAACCAATGGACTTTGTCTGATACCATGTAGTCAACATGTAATTAAATTCACGATAAAGATCCGATGGGAACTTTGGGAAATGAAAATGCAAAGTATGTGTCACAGTACTTTAAAATGGATTTGGTTTGGCCATCTCTGGATAGAAAACTCAAGTTCCAAGACAAAGAGATGATAGGGTGGGGTGAAAAAGTCAAAAGGTCAACACCAAGTGACCCTCAAGATAAATGCGCGCAGACCACTGAAGCTCACTCAGGGCGAGCCTGATAACACACCTCCCGCCCCAGCCACCGGCCGGGTTCTCTTGCAGACCAGTACTGGAGCCCACCCAAACCTTTTTCAGCATTGCTGCCTGCATTCGCCCAGGACGTTAGCACAAAGAAACCACCGAGAAACAAAACATGGTCCCGTGGGTGCCGGGCGGGAATGGGGGCCCGGAGACCCGAGCGCTCTCCCGGTTCCCCGCCCCCCGAGGAAGCAGCCAGGGCGCGGCGGGCCGCGAAGGCGCCTCTGTCCCGACCTTCGCCGAAGTATTTCAGAACTTGCCATCCACCTCCCCCGCTCTATTTTCTCCTCCAGACGTGGAATTGGGACCTGCGCGAGGAGGGCGCGCGAGGACCGGCGGGCGGAGCTCTGGGCGGCAGGCCGGGCGGGCGGCCCGAGTCCCGCGGGCCCACGCCCCCTCTGCTGGCTCCCGCCTCCCGGGCAGCTATTGTTCCCGCGCCGCCCCCGCCCGCCGCGCACTCGCGCCCCCACTCCCGGGAGGGGGTCACGACTGAGAAGGCGGCGGCGGCACAATAACATAAACACCAGGGGGCCGCCGGGCACCCGGCCCTGCGGAACCCGCCGCACTTACCCCGCAGCGCAGCAAAACGCAATAGTAAAGACCTCAGCGAGGACGGACACTGTCCGGGCGTTCGCAGCGGCCGTTACCCAGCGCTGCTCGCGGCTCCGCTCTCCGGGCCGCGTCGTCCGGCCTTGGCCGCTCCGCTGAGTAACAGGGACGCGAGCCGTCACTGCGCACGCCCGCCCACGTCATCGCGCAGAGTCCCACCCCCGCGACTCTGAGCGGCCCGGGGGGCGGGGCAGCCCCAGGGCCCGGATTGCGGGGGCGGGGCCCGCAGCTAGTGGGCGTGGCTACACTAGCGGACCAGAAGGAGTTGGCGGAGTTCGCTTGGAGCCTGAGCTGCTGGGAGAGCCTGCTCGGGAGGCTGGTTAGGGGCGGGCAGGGAGCGGGAGGGGCGGGCCCGGAGCTGGCACGTGGCGGCGTGTGCCCCAGACAACGCATCTGGCTCCGGGAGGTCTGCTAGTCACAGCCTAAGCCTCCAGGGCGCCTGGCAGCAGGGTTTGAGGGTGAGGTGACTTAGGCCAAACCCGCCCGGTGAGCAGACACACCTGTCTGGGCACACACCTGAGACAGGAAGAGTTTGTTACCTTGAACGATAATATGTTCCATTATGAGGACACCTGTCCCGGGGTTCAGCCATCTACCAGCAAATAAAATGTGCTGGACATCGTCCTGGAAAAAGCCACCTCCTGATTTTCCGTAATCCACCTCTTCCAAGATTCTTGGTATTACCTGATTTACCTCTGAGACCGCAGAATGCGAGCAAATGTTAAGTTCTAGAAGTGATAAGTTGGCAAACCCCTAAATATCCAACAATGGGTAAAAAGGCATTTAAATTACTATCATCCCAGCAATATAATACATTTTAGTACTTTAAACGCCATGTTCAAGGAGTTCTTACCAAGGGAAACTGTTCACGGTATATCATTAAGAGAAAGAAGTGAGTATATATAGATTGCTCCCACTTATGAACTACACACACACACAGACACACACACACACAGTATATACATAGAAAAGACTGGAAAGAAATATGCCAAATTATTTTAACAGTGGTTCATCTTTGGAGAAGGGCTATTTGTTTCGCTCTTTGGGTATTTTCTTGTGGTTTCCCAAAGGAATAGTTATGTTCACAATAAGAGATAAGTTACTTTAACAATATATAAATATTACATGTTGGGCTGGTCTGTTTCTAGTGATCCTGAAACAGAACATGTGTAAGCATTCGCTCTCCATTTCTTCCCTTCCTCACAGCCTTTATTTCCTTCCTTCCTTTATTTCTTCAATAAATATCACATGCCCATTCTCTGCCAGGCAATATTTGAGTTTGGCAGTACAATAAACTTACAGATTTAATCACTTGTATGAAAATAACAGTAAAAATGCAAAATTATCACTGTTATAATACAAATTGTTAATAACACATAGGATTATGAAACTAATTGATATGATTAATAAACCTGTACAATGTTTCCCTGAGGAAATGGCCCTTGAGTTGAGAACAGATTTGACCAGACAGAGAATAATTCTGACATAGGTAACTTCACATTCAAGAGATCCTCTGATGAGAGAGAGTAGGGTAAGTTGGAGAAATTGAGGCAAGACCAACTTTGCCAGAGGATGAAGGAAGAACGCTCCATGAGATAAAATTGAGAAACAAAAGAAACTAACCTAGAACAGCCATGCTGGCCCATATTAAAAATCTTTTTACCTAAGTGCAATGGGAAGACATTGACATGTTCAGCAAAGTAGGTAGCATGATCAGAATGATATCCTGAAAAGATTTGTCATTGGAAGGAGGCCAGGTGGATTGATACAGATGGCAAAAAGTGGAGGCTTAGTCTCAGATGATGATCACAGAAATAGTAAAGGAGAGAATCTGAAAACCATTTAAAAGACCCTGTGAAGAACTTGCATATTCTGCAAGCGATGGGTTTAGGTAAGGCAGGAAAGAAGAGGGAGTCATGAAGGAAAATTCATAGGTTTCTGTCTTGTGGCCAAGAATGGATGTCAGTGCTGGTTTATCAATATGGAAATCTTGGAAGAGGACCAGGCTGAGGTAGAAAAATCATAAGCGCAATTTCTTTGGTTGTTTAAAGATTTTTGAAATGCTCAAAAGAGATGCTAAAATGGTTGAAGGACAGAACTGGAGCTCAGTTAAATAGGAAATGAATAATGTAGAGAGAATTAATCCAAGTCTGAGGGACAGGATAGTGAGCAAGAAGAAAAGATGATGTGGAGGCAGCCTGAACTTCAACATCAAATGGCCACAAGGAGCAAGATGAGCAAGTAACAGAGCTGCTGGGAGAAGTAGAAGAAAAACCAGGAAAGAGGGATTCAGGTTGAAGAGAGTGATCAGTACTATTAACTATAATTGGAGGATTGAAATCCTGAAGTATGAGAACCAGAAGTGGATTAGAGAGGACCAAGGAACAAGTGGGAGATGAGAAAGTAGAGGTGGTGAATATGGATAAGCTGGGCAGTGAAGAGAGACAGACAGAGCATACTTTACATCTGCTGGGAATACTCTATTGAGAGGGAGAAGCTGAATAAAGAAGGAAGAGAAGAAATAAATATAAGTGTTTCCCAAGAGAGCAGAAAGTATGATTAGGCACACAGGTAGTATTGGCAGGTACTTCCTAGTGCCAACCAGACACATTAAAGAGGAGATAGCAAAAGACAATATAACTCAAAGGACAGTTACAAAAGGAAGGGAGTTGCTAGGAATAGAGTCCAGTTCTGTAATCCTGTTAGTAACAGGGAGAGCTTCTGATTTGGCATCAGCTACCAATGTCAGTTTCTGATTATCTACATGTAGAAAGAACATGCTTTTCTTTCGTACACACCCAATTCATCTTCTGCTTTTCTCCACACATGTGTAATTTTAGAAAACTGTTAATTCACCCACACCACTGGTCAAGTCTACTTCTCCATCCACAGGCAGAAGAGGTTCAGTCCTAAATGACTCCAAGATACTCTTTGAGGCTCTTTCAAGACAGAGCCTGTTGCAGGGCCTGGTGGAGCACACCTATAGTCCCAGTGACTTGGGAGGCGGAGACAGGAGGATTGCAAGTTGAAGGCCAGCCTCAGCAATTTAATGAGATCATGTCTCAAAATTTAAAAAATAAAAATAAAAAATGGGAGAGCTAGGGATGTAGCTCAGTGGTAAAGTTCTCCCCTGGGTTAAATCCCTAATACAAAAAAAAAAAAATCCTGCTGGTTTCTAAAAAGTTAGGACAGGCTCTGGTTGCCAGAACAGAAGAAAGATAGGTATTCAGATTGCAATTATTTTTTATCCAAAAACTGTGGCTTATTTCCTCAGGGGTAGAATAAAACCAAAAATGACCAGACCTCGTCCATCACAACTCAAACAATGTGAAGTAAAGACACAAGTGGGCAATAATTTGAAATTAGAAGTGGTATCTTTACTCCCAGGTTCATGTAAGGGAGACAAGCCAGTCAAGACTATAAGTACACATATGTATGCTCATGAAAAAAATCCTCAGCATTTATTCCTTGCTGTAGTTTGGATATGGCCTGTCCTTCCTGAAACACATTTTGAAATTCAGTTGCCAGTGTAGCAGTGTTTGAAGGTGGGGCTTTCAGGGGGTGATTGGATCATAAGAGTGCCATCCTCACAGGAGGACTAATGCCTTTCTCAAGAGTTTGGATTAGTTCTTGTTAGAGTGACTTTTTTGCACATGAGAGTGGTGTTTCAGTCAGGTTTGTGTGGCTGTGACCAAAAGACCTGAAAAGAACAACTTAGAGGAAGAAAAATTCATGTTGGCTCATGGTTTCAGAGGTTCAGTCCATGGTCCGTGGACCTTAGGTGAGGCAGAATGTAATAGTGGAAGGGTGTCGCCGAGGAAAGCAGTTCAGAACATGGCAGCCAGGAAGCAGAGGAGTAGAAAAGGGGCCACAGGAAAGATGCACACCCACCAGCCTATGGTTACCACTCAGTCCAAATTAGGATGGACTTACAGCAATCACAGCACAATCATTTCACCTCTAAACATTTCTGCATCAATACAGAAACTTTTGGCAGATAATACCTCATATCCAAACCATAACAAGTGGGTTGTTATGAAGTGAGCCTGATACCTCCCCCTTTCATGCGTAAGTGCTTTTCTTTTACATGCTCCTACTTAAACTGCTGTTTTTTCTTCATAAGTTTATGTAGAATGAGGCCCTCATCAGATATGGTCACCTGATCTTAGACTGCCCAGCCTCCAAAAATCATGAGTCAAAATAAACTTTTTCAGTGCATAGTAGCCAGATATTTAAGATACTCTCCTCTTGAGAAAAAGACAAAAATAAATTAAACTGGAGGGAAAGAATATATTGCTGAAGTCCTTTAACTCATTAATAAAATTCTTGCTATTGTTTTCAATAAGTTCATATCTCAAAAGAGGGGTTTCTGCCAGATCTCTCAGCTTGGACCCTATCTATAATTCTTAGCTAAGAGTTTCTTCTATCTCAGTGGAATTTTGTTATTTGTAACTGTTGGCCCTGTGGTGAGAGAAGAGAACACCCCATGACTGGCCTCCTTCTCTTGGGAACCTAACTCCACCTTCATTCCCACTCTTCCTTCAGTTCTCCACGGCTTGCCCCTCAGATGTCAAACTGGAACTCATACTAGATTGACATGCATTCTACCAATAACCCTTTGGTAAAAAAAATGTCCATTCTTTTCCAAAGTTCCACTTGTGTTGGCCAGCTTTTTGTCACAGTGACCAAAGTATCTGATAAGAACAACTTAGAGTTACTTCAGATTAGGCAGAAGGGAGTGAAGGGAGGTGAGGGAGTATGGGGGTAGGAAGGATAGTAAAATGAATCAGACATTATTACCCCCATGTACATACATAACTACATGACTGGTGTACAACCCGAAGAATGTACAACTGGAAGAATGAGAAGTTATATTTCATTTATGTATGATGTGTCAAAGTGCATTCTACAGTCACATATAACTAATTAGAATTAAAAAAATAATAACAACTTAGAGGAGGTAAGGTTTATTTGAGCTCACGATTTCAGAGGTTCAGTCCATGGTGGGCCAGTTCCATAGCTCTATGCTTGTGGCGAGGCAGAGCATTGCAACAAAAGGGCACAGTGAAGGAAAACTACTG